GCAGGTACGAGATTCTCGAATCCCGTTAAAAATGGGCTGCTGCGGGATTGCTCCGTGCCTTCCTCACGCGGTTGGCGGCTCTTGCCTTGCTGGGGTCTGAGTGCCGAAGCCGTGGGTAACGCTGCTGCAGGCCTCTGCGTCGCTTGGACCCCTGTGAAATGCTGCCAGGGAGGGGGGAAATATTTTCATATTTTAGGAAAGCATCTAATTGTGGGAATGCTATGAGCTGCCGGAATAGGTGGTTTACTCTCGTAAGTTTGGAGAAAGGAGAACGAGAATGGTTTAAATAGACGTTTTCAGTTTTAAAACTATTGTTACAGTAATTCTGGGATGTTTCAATTCTTAGTATCAACTTTTAAGTTATTGTTAAAATGTTGAAAATTATGTGAGAGTTAAGCGTTTGCCAGGATTTACCCCAATTATGATGGGTACTTTGAGGTAGGGCAGCACCACTGTCATTTTTCTGATAGCGAATGTTGGTGGTAGGAGGTTGGGGTTTGGTTGGGTGCCAAAAATGTGAGGGAACAAGTGAAAAAAGTAATAGAGCTTGAAAACAATATGGTTCGTAGGAGGACAAAGACAATCGGAGCGTGCAACTAGGAGTGGGGAAGAGAGCGGAAAAAAGAGGGGCAAGGTTGTACTGGCGTTTCACGCATTTCAGGAGTTTTGCAATCGTGTCAGGAAAAATAAGTTCATTGGAAAAGGGCTGGGGGGCACTGAAGAGCTTTGGGGACAAAAGGAAGTTAAATTTCATTTTCTTCTTCACTGTTCCTGAGGGGATATGGGGAGAGCAAAAGTTTTTTCTTAAGGTGACTGGAAGATCAGTAAAATAAACTGATTGCTGCAGAAGAAGAAATAAAGAGCTCAGAAATGCTGAAAGTTGGCAGAAGCATAAGTTGGAGTGAAGTACAGGCCATCCCTCCTGCCCACAGAAAGAAGGAAGCCTACAGGGGTGGCTTTAATGTAATCATGAGATTTGCAGAGCTTTTGAGAGAGATTTTTAATCATGTTCTGCTCAGTTACTGGAGAAGCTAGATGAAATCCTTTAGAGATGAGCACTGTATATGACTTTATGTTTCTATTTGCACTTCAGCAGTGTTCAGAGGTCTCAGGCATGGTGGTGAATCTGTTAGAGTAGGAGGTGTCTAGCTGCAAAAATCAAGCGTAGTTTCTTTAGTCATGGGGTAGGGGATTCCAAAAATAAGGGCATCTGTGGGCTGATGTTTGTGTTCAATGTGATACCATGTTGTTAATTCTCAGTCAGTAATGATTCTTGCTATCTGGTTTGTTGTTTAACATTGAAGCAGTCTAATGCTCTGAAAAGAAAGCACCAGTCACCACATGGAAACCCACCTTTGAAACGTAAACGTAAGCCATCGATAAACACCTTCAAGAAATGTGCTACGGAAGCTGACATCAGGGAAAAGGGAAGTTCATCACAAAAGTCTCTTCTTAAGAAGCAGTTGACCGACAACCGAAATGAAAGCCAGAAAAGCAAATCTTTCATTAAGACGTCCAGCCTGTTCAGAAACAACCCTGATATCCCAGAAATTCACAGGTATTTTAGACAAATGGGAGGAAAAAAAACCTTTTCGGTGCCTTGAAATTCAGTGTCTTGAATTCTTGCCCTCGCTTGGGCAAAGCAGTTGCTTGGTACCTGTAGTTTCATGCTGTTTATGTAGAATACTATTGTACAATTTTTAACCACGCAATGTGCTTATTTTTGCTTTGGTTTGTTTCCCCTAACTCAGAAAAGCAGTACAGCAGGTGCAAGAAAATGTTTTCACTACAGATTCTTTTAGCCAGTTGGACCTCCATCCACATCTGGTGAGTGGCAGGAAGGCTGTGTGCCTCGAAACATGCTTTTTTGGGCGGGGGCAGGTTAGAGAGCTGGGAGATGCACCTTTATTCATGGTGACTTGGACAGGCTCGCCAGTG